CTTTGGAAACCCAGTGGGGGTGGCTATGAGTCAGAACTGATTCAATGGCAGTGAGTTTTATTTTGGTTTGCCATGGTAGATAGCACTCTAAAATGTTATGTGGATCTTAAGTTTGTGTCTGTATCTATCTAGGTGGCTCTCACTCAGTGTACCACTCATTTGGAGTTTGGACTAGATTCCACCCACTGCCATCAAATCAATTCTGACTCAGAGACCCTATGGGAGCTCTGGTGGCATAGTGCCTACGGCATTTGACTGCTAACCAGAGGCTGGCGGTTCAAACCCACCAGCCACTCCTGAGAAGGAAGGTTGGGCAATACTTCCATAGTGAAACTGCCTTGGAAACCCAAGGAGGGGTCGCTATGAGTCGGGTCCAACTAGATGGCAAATAACAACAACAACATTATAGGATAGAGTGGAACAGTCTCATAGAATTCCGAAGGCTGAAAACCTTTATAGGAGCAGACTGTCTCATCTTTCCTCAACAGGATGACTGGTGGGTTTGAATCAGAGAGCTTTTGGTTAGCAGCTGAGTGATTTAACCACTGTGCAACCAGGCTACCTGGGACTAAATGAATGGTTCTCAAAGTGTAATCCCTGGAACAGTAACATCAGCATCACTTGGAAAGTTGTTAGAAATGAAAATTGAAGACCCTACCCCAGACCTTCTGAATTGGAAACTGGAGGAGCTGCCGAGCAATTTGTTTTAACCTCTAGGTGAATTTGATATCTAGTCAAGTTTGAGAATCACTGGACTAGAGGACTTCCCTAAAGCCTTCTCCAACCATCAAAATCTTACTGTTACTGGATATTGTTATGTATCTTCCAGAACCACAAGTATAATTAACCACTCCTAGTAATTGAGTAAAATACTATAATCAAGAATACCATATTCTATTAAATCAAACTCACTGCCATGGAGTCGATTTGACTCACAGTGAACCCTCCTTGGGTTTCCAAGGTAGTATCTCTGCAGAAGTAGATTGCCCAACCTTCCTTCTGAGGAGTAGCAGGTGGGTTTAAACCACCAGCCTTCTGGTTAGCAGTCAAGTGCCTTAGGCACTATGCCACCAGAGCTCCCCCATATTCTATTAGTAGCACTTAGAATTTTGCTACATTTTCACAAAGATAATATTTATTAGTATGCTTTTCCCAAATAAAAAGACCTTGTGATTAATGCATGGGATCACTAATAGTAGTGATATCCAAATTTGATCATTGTTTCTTTCATATTTATAATGTAAGGATTTATTCCAGATGTGAAAAATACATGCTTTGATGAAACTTAATGTGTAGGTATTTATCATCTCTTCCTCAAGACCAACTGTTACAAATAGCTTCCTCTCACTTTCCCATTCCATCTGTGAGAAATATTAGAATACAACTAAAAAGGGGGTGCAATTGCATGCTGGCGAAAACATTTATAAAAATACCTTAACAGTTCAAAACAGATGAAGCATTTTAGGATTCTCATCTGCAGGAAATGTTGAATTAGGAAACATGAAGCCTTCATGCTTAAAGAATTCTATCCTCAAATAGATCTGATCTCAAACGTCATTCAATAAAGTCTATTTCAGCAGCTAACAACATGGAAATTGCTTTACCTAAGAATACAAATTCCCAAACACCAAATGTTAGACGTAAGACACATTTTGACCCTGTAACCACAAAAAAAAAAAAAAAAAAAAAAAATTATCATAGCAGAAAACCTGGATGGTAGTCAGGCACCAAAAGGGAAAAATGTTAGAAAACAGCAGGGGTCAAGTTTAAAAGTCAAGGCTTTTGCTCCCCAAGATAAAGATTCCTTTCCACCCAGTTTGTTTTGACAGGTGACTGCTTTACAGCAAACTCCTCCCTACTTCACTCATTTCCTTTTACAGCTTAACTTGTTCCTTGAAATAAATGCTCTTATCTCTTCATACCATAGAAGTAGAAAGGATTCTTACTCGCAAAACAAATGAACATTATTCTTAAAAACATTTAAGGTGTGTGTGTGGGGGGGCTGGAATATCCCTAACGCTTCTCAATTATGTCACAAATGTAGATGGCTACAAAACTCAGAACTATTTTCCTACTCCAGGCACACATGCAAAAATTGCTTTCATTGAGAATTCAAAAAGCATTTATTTCACAGTACTCAGTGAAAACATATTAAAATCTGCCCTGCCATCTAAATCTAAAGAATTTAGTCATGCAAATGACTAAATTTTGTGCAAAGGTGATTAATGCATCCAGCAAACTACCTCATTTTCAATTTTCCATTGGCAAATATTCATAAGGAATATATACATTTCTTAGACACCTGGCAGTATTTTATGTCAAAACACTTCTAAAAAAAAAAATGTAAGAAAGCCACCAAGTGCCTTTCTAAAAAAATCCTTCAGAAAGTGATGTATGTCTCCAGAATTTTCAACACTTTAGATCTACTTAAGCAACTAAATTTACTTGAATATAAGAATGAATCCCAGAAAGGATGTGTCTACGTTTAGAAAATATGTTAATATTGCCTTCCAACTGTTTAATATTAAACTTAAGTGAGAATGAGTGAGAAAAAAAAATGTCTGTATGATTATCATGAGCAAAATTCTATATTCCTCCTCATGCTCAGAGTACTCAGGAATGAACATAACATTTTAAGGCAAGATATGTTAATACAGCTTTAAAGAAACTTGTGGCCTGTAATTTCTTTTGGCTTTGTCAAAGGAACACATCCTTTTGTCAAAAAACCCTTCAGAACACTTTATCTACACTTCATAGATGAAGATACATCAAGTGCTTCTGATACAGATATAAAATACTCAGACAGAGGTTATATTGCAGATTAAAGCTCTCCTTAGGAAAATAAAATGAAAAACAAAAAGCTCACACTGCCTCCTGCTGTTAAAAGGAAAATTTTAAGAGATCAGATACGCTCCATAAAATGCACAGAACGAAATGATACCAAGAGACTTGTCTTAGTTTTTTCCTTTTTTCAATCTGAAGATCTATTTCCAAATCAAAATCTCAAAAAAGCTAAGACACTGTCTACAATTCATATACTTATACTGCAGAAGACACTACCTGGTATAACTTCATTTGGAAACTGAAAACCATCTTCTCCAAAACATGTTTTTGACTTGATGTATGACATAATTTAAACAAACCAAAAAAAGAAGAAATTAATGAGTACCCTGCCAGACAGATGGAGACCTCAAGCAATATTAGCAGTTGGTTTCTCCTCTTCGGTTTTCAGTGAGGTAAACTTCATCACAAAAGCAAAAGGAAATTATATACTTGTCCATCCTATAGTCAGATCGTATGGCTACCCCAGGGCTTCCTAGGACTTGATAATTTTCTCCATATTTTATAAGTGGGGTATAGTATGATCCAACTTGAGATACTTTTGACTTCAAAATTTGACACCTCTTCAACATCATAAACCTGCCCCTGTCTACCTCAGCCATGATGCTGTATTAAGTCACTGAATATGAAACACAGAAACACAAACAGTAATTTTGGGTTTGTTTCTTAAAAATGACACTTGTATTAAAAGTCTTAAAATGAAGAGACAACAATTAAACACATGTCTGGAATTAAAAATCACAATTAGTATCCTCTTGGTACATCACAACAGTAAATTTTGCTCTTTGCTTCTGGAGGAACACTCTAGAATAAAAAAACAAAAAACAAAATAAAATAATACAAAAAGGGAGCTAATACCTGACAATTTGAACAAAATGAAGCACACACAAAAAAAGGGGAGGGGATAAATTGCAAAGCATGAAAATTACATTTTAGAGGCTAGAAATAATAAAGAGATTCATGAACAACAGCCTCTATTGTCCTGGCTTGTTCAGGAAGATTACTGAAAGGAAACTGGGAAGTGGCTTGGAGAATAGCAGATACTGGATTATGGTGGGAAGTTCACAGGTTGGCACCGGCTGGAACAGCTGAGTATTGAAGGCACTCTGCAGACACAGGGGTGCTGGGGGCCCTGAATCACGTTAGGAAGTCTTTGTACTGTAATTTTAAGAGCTAGTCATCAAAATCTGTTACTTCCAACCGAAATAAAAAAGCAAAAAGAAACTTAAAAAAAAAAAAAAAGCACATACACACACACACACACAATAGTACACAAAAATGTGCAGATCTGTAACATTTTTTTCACAGCTGATAAAAAAAAATACTACCATTCTCCCCTCAGACTCCCCTTTGATACAGTAGGTAAACAAAATAGATTTTTTTTTTTCCACAAATATCAGCAGACACTTTCTGGCACCCCACACTGTATTGGCATCAGTGTTAACAGTCCCAGTTCAGATGTGCAATACTTCAGATTGGATACACTGTAACAAGAATCCAACTTTGCATAGACATCCTCAGAATCATAATCAGTCACGGGGTTGCCCTTCCAAGCTGGCAGAAAAGGAACTCGATCTTAATTTCCAGCTCCTCCTTGGAAAACAAGGAAAAAAAAAACAAAAACAAGTTTCTCCCTTTTCTCCTGCTCCTTCATATAGTTCTCCCGGACTTCCTCTCCATGTATTTAAAAGTTGGAACTAGAAAACGGTTGTTGACCAAAAGGAGGGGGAAAAAAAAAAAAAAAGAAAGAAAGAAAAGAAAGACCTCCCTTTCCTCCATTCCCCACATCCTCGTCCTCCACCCCACCCCCATTTTTTTCCTGGCTGAAACTTGCTTGCCGGGTGTCAAGCTGCCAATATAGCGCTCAATCGGCGATTTACTGGGGGAAATAAGCGTCAACCAAAATCAATGAGAGATGTACATGCTGCAAAGAGCTACATTTCCAGCAGGGTCTCGGATGGTCAGAACGGGACACCTCTCAGGATGCGGGAAGGAGGGCGGGGGACGCCGGCCGCGGTAGCCAGCCAGGCTCCCAGGGCACCTCGGCCAATGCAAAGTCGTCTCCAATCTCAAAGCAAGAAGAAAAATCACATTTAGAAGAGTCGGGTGCGTTTGGCTTTTGTGCGCAGAGCGCCCGGCGCGCGGCAAGCGCGGGCGCCTCAGAGAATCACGCAGGCCGAGCAGCAGCCCTCGTCGCCGTTGGGCTGCGCCGCGTAGTTCATCTGCCGCACGATCTCGGCGAACAGCTCGTCCACCGAGGCTTTGTTTTTGGCCGACGTCTCCATGAAGGGACAGCTCCACTCCTCGGCCAGGGCCTTGCCCTCGCCGTAGGAGACCTCGCGCTCGCCCTCTAAATCCACCTTGTTGCCCACCAGGATCATGGGCACGCGCTCGTACCGCTTCACGCGGATGATCTGGTCCCGCATGGGTTTGATGTCCTGGAAGCTCTGCTGGTTGACAAGGCTGTAGACAAGGATGAAGCCTTGGCCATTCTTGATGTACAGGTCCCGCATGGACGCGAACTGCTCCGTGCCTGCCGTGTCCAGAATCTCCAGCACCGACGGCGACGAGTCCACTTCAATCTCCTTGCGGTAGAAGTCCTCGATGGTGGGGTCGTACTTTTCGATGAAGGAGCCCGTCACGAACTGCACGGTGAGCGCAGACTTGCCCACGCCGCCGGAGCCCAGCACCACCACTTTGTACTCTCTCATGGCTTCGTTGGCGCTCGCGCCGCGCCTGTCGCGGCCCCGTCGGGGCTGAGCGCCGGGGAAGGCTAGGCTTGGTGGCTGCACTACTCTCCTTCCTCAACTCCAAAGGAAAACCTCCCCTTCCTCAGGTCCAAAGGAAAACTCTGGGAGAGGATGGCAGGGGAGGGCAGGGATCAGAAATCACAAAGCTGAGGCCGGGCGCCGGGCCAGCCCGCGGCCGCGATACGTCCTTGGGGCGCGGGTCCGGGGCCCCGCAGCAGCCCAGGCGGCGGAGCGGGAGGACAATGCCAGCAGCCTTCGCGAGACGACGGCTGGAGCTCCTTGCCGCTGCAGCCCCGGAGGGCGAGAAGGAGGCGGCGGCGGCGGGCTGCGGGGCAGCTGCTAATTGCGCGCGGGATTGGGACGCGCGTGGCATGAGTCCCCGCGGAGCGTGCGCCCACCGCCGCGGCCCATCGCGCTCTCTCCCGCAGCCTCCGCGGGTCGAGAGCTTCCTACTCGCCGCGCGCAGCCCGGCCCTCCCCTCCCAGGCGAGCATGCCCAGTGCACCACCGGCCGCGCCCGCTCATCCGCAATTCCGGGTTTTTCTAGGGCCATGAGGGGCGGGGTTGGGGGCAGGGTTCGCTATTAAGTCTGGAGAGGCGAATTCGTAGCGAAACATGTCTTACAGCTAGAGACATGTGTGTTGTGTGGGAGACCAGGGTTTAGAAAAGCTTGTATGGGAGGATGGAAGCCAACTTCTTTCAGGGTTCTAGGGTTTGTACTCTAGAGCGGCGATTCTGAGAGAAGCGTGTGGGTGCGGCGTGTCCTCCCGGGGATGGGATGTGTTGGGCTCTTGCCCCCAATGGGTCTGGTGGTCGGCTATCAATTTTGGGGCTGTGGAGTGCTTGTGGCGGCAGGCAGAGACTCTTCCTCAACCCAGGGCACAGCTCCTTCTGAACCGCTGGCCAAGGAAACGCAACTCTGTCCTTTTGGTTGACCTTTCCCGCAGTTCATCTCCGGGACAAAGAGAATGAGAAATCAGCCTGGGACGCTGTACCTAAGAGGCAATGGGCAGTACTGACCACAACCCTCTCTCGGCTGGGACTTGGCTGGTCCCACCCACCGCCTATTCCATCCGGCAGTAGGCAAAATCCGGAGACCTGGATCCCGCCCCAAGCCAAGAAGTCACCGCGGCCTTCGCGGCTAGTCCGGGCATGCTCAGTCAGCAGAGCAGGTTTTCCGTCTTGGAAGTAGGAACCTTTTGCACCACACACCCACACTCCAGCTCGAATTACCTCCCCAGACTCTGTCCCTATTGGTTCCAGGGTGTAAGTCTCACACCCCTAAGTTTTTTTATTATTGGCTACCGCCAAGGTTTTATCAGTTTCGGATGCTTCATTGGGTAAAAAGTAGCCTCCGCTTGTGATTGGTTATTTATAGAGCTTGAGTTGAGAGGCGGAGGCACAGCTGTTCTTTCCCGGCTGCTCCCCGCCCTCTTCCTCCCACTTCCTCAATCCAGCCGTTTGGAAGCTAAGTGAAAAAGTAAGAGGAATTTAGGCGGAGAGCTCAGAACATAGTCTAAATATAGTCCTTTGTTGGTGTTTTAGAGAAAATCTGGCTTCTTGTGTCAGTCATGACTGCCCTTTCAAGGGAGGAAAAAGGGCTGATAATAATCCTTGGTGCACAAGAAACAAGGCACAAGTTTTAACGTTTTATGTGAGGAGGAGGATGGGGCCACTTAGAATTCGTCTTACCCAGAGAGTGTGGGGAGGTGCCTGAGCTTGTCTTTTAAAAACTTCTTGGCTTGGGAAGGGGGCCTAGGGCATCGCTAGACTCAGCTAGGATTATCCTTCAGGAGGTGCGAGGGAGATGCCCCGACTTGCTCTGAGTCTCCGTGGTTCCTGGTGGAGGTGGGATGTGTCAAGACTTGTTTAAAGACAGCCCTGGCCGACTGACCCTGAGGCTGAAGGGGGCGCGGGGGAGGGGGGGAGGGGGAGGGGGCGGGGGTCATGTAAAACCCGGCCTGGCTCCAGGTCCTGCTGTTTTATTCTGATTCCACTTCACACTGGTTTCTTGTCAGCAGTGGAAGGGTGAACTAGGCGGTGTGCTTACATTTGGTTTCAGTTCCTAATTACCCTGTGACTCAGAGCCACGTTTGCGTGTTAACCTCCAAATCCAGGGCTGCAGTTTGCATGGTGAAGTCCTTAAACCCAAGCCAGGAGGGATGAGGGCAGCAGACGACGCCTCAGGTGGAGTGGGTAATGCCTGTTCCTACTTCATTTAGTGGAGAAAAGAGATGAAAATTGTCTAAGTGCTTGGATATAATTATGCTTATATAAATCAACAGAAAAACCTCGGAAGTAAATTCTAATGCAGTCAGAGGAAACCCCCCGCCCCCGCAACGTTTATCCAACTGTTAATGTCTGCAATGATGGGTTCAAGTATGGCAAGGATTGTGAGGATGGATGACCTGGCAGTGTTTGGTTCTGTTGTACATAGGGTCTCTCAGAGTCCAGCGGACTTGACAGCACCTAACAACAACAACAAGTGTTTACATGTGCAAGCTCATTTACGTTCGTAATAATTATTATTACACCTATTTTACAGATGCGCAAACCGAGGCTCTGAGATGGTCAATAACTCTGCAGGTTTCACAGCTAATGAGTATCCGGGCTAGTATTGTAACCATCTGTTTGGCTAGACATTGGTCTCTTTGAGCTTGAAGGTACTGTGCTTCCAAAAATCAAACTCACTGCCGTCCAGTTGATCTGACTCATAGCCACCCGTCATTGGGTTGCCAAGGCAGTCACTAGGTAAGTAGATGCCCATTCTTCCTTCCCACGAGTGGCTGGTGGGCTTGAACCACCAGCCTTCTGGTTAGAAGTCAAATGCCTTAGGCACCACCAACCTTTAAACCAAAACAAGAGGGACATCTGCTCTGGGATACTGGCTATCCTCTGATTGTACCCTTCCTCACATGGTCATGATGGTGGCCCATTTGGGAACTACTTCTAGACCACATTACAGCTGTGAACTCTTTAATCCCTACCCGCACCCCATCCCCACACAAATGGTGCCAGACGGCTTCTTGTTTGGGCCTCTGTATTGACATTGACCTACTATGTCTAAGGAGTGATTGTTAAGATATGAGCAGGCCTTGGATCCATGGGCTGCCATGTACCCTTGTAAGCACTTTGGGACCTTCTAGTGCAGATAGGAAGATCAGTGGGGGTCAACTTTGCCTTCTCTGTCACTTTCCAGACTGGAGGTGGAGGAGTCTGAAAATTCTTAATTCACTCTGGGAGCTTGGGGTCTTTGTTAGAGAGGTACTTGTCAAGGTGAGAAAATAGAGCATATTTGCTTAACAGTTTGTTCAGTTGATACATAATTTCAATATTTAGAATAATGCTTTGTGGGTTTCCATTTGTACTCTTGCCCACAAATGGTAGGTGTGGTTCTGAGCATGTTAATATAGTAGAAAATGGTTTGTCCTTACAGGCCTGATGTCTAATCTCAGGTATTGTATATGAGTTATAATCTCTAGGGCCTTGAGTAAGTTCTTTAAGCTCTCCTGACCTTGGTTACTCTATTATAAAATAGCAATAATAAAATTTGCCCTGCCCAACTAGCTAAGCAGAAACCGTGGGGAGGATCTACTAATCCTAAATTCATAGCAGAGAAAACTGTGATCTAGATAGATCAGGTATCATAGGCAAATTAGTTGGAGAGCCAGAATTAGAACCCTGGTATCCTGACTACTTTTTCCATGGTGCCAAGCTATCCTCAGAGATAATAATCAACAGTCAATGGAATAAGGTATGGGAATGTGCTTTTAAAGCTATGTTATTGTTATTTGTCATCAAGTGGAGCCCCATAAATGCATGGCGATTACTGCCCAGACTCAGGGAGCTTAACAGCCCTATCTGGAAGAGCCCATCCTTAGAGCACCTGGTAGCCATGTGGGTGGATATTACTGAACCTTGGTGGCCTCTCTGGTACCAGGAAGAGGCCACACTTTGAATAAACAGTATGATCCATACCTTAGAATTTCTAGTTGAGATTCTTCCATAGAAATTTTTATTACACTGAGATGGTCTTCCAAAGAAAATTTTTCCTTGCAACTTTGGGATTTGAAATGAAGCATGTAAATTGCTGATTCATAGATTTTTAAGATTGGTTACTTCCCCCTATGAAATGTATTGGGAGTTTGAATGTACCCTTCTTATAGCAACAGTTATCATCTACCCTAAACCATAAACATGATTGTGTCTTGTCACCCTAAGTACTGTGTGAATTCCTTGAGGTCAGGCACCATGTCTAATTGTCTTTGGAACCACCTTTGTTCCTCATAGCACCTATAACAGAGCCATACGTAGGAGGCCCTCAATAAATATTTATTGATATATGAATGATCTGTGATTCCTTTTCCAAAACCTGCTTGTGGTAAGACTATTTTAATCATATTAATCCTGACTGGAGGCTATGCCACCGGTATTTCAAACACCTACAGGGTTACCCATGCAAAGAAAGATAGCAGAGCATCCGGTGAAGAAACTTTTTCTCCAAAGAAGTCTTAATATTTGGAAATATATGAAAAGGTCTTTCTGGAAAATAATCAAAAATAAAAGCTACCAAGTAAGGATTGCTTAACCTTTGGAAACGAATGTTACATAAATGGGGTTGCTGTCCCTGACTTTTGTTCACACAGTGGTTCTGATGAACTCCTGTGATGCTGAGGTTGAGCCTTCAAAGAATTAGGTTTGTTCAAATATGAATCTTTTAAGTCTTCCAGACAGTAAGAACCTACCTGCCCTCTTCATTTATACAAAGTGGAAGTTTATTTTATAATGTTGCTAGTTTTAGCTATACCACCTATAGGTAAGCACATACTTCTAAACAAATTCTAATTTTGAAAATACCAAGAGTAAGTTGCTAGTGACCATGTATCATGTTAAAGTGTAAGATTAACTGTGCCTAGCAGAATACTCAATAAATATTTCTCACATTAGTGAATGTTGCAACTA